CAGTCCCTATTCTGCTCTGTGTCAGTGTGTATCAGGGATCCTTAGGACAGGTGTCAATCCATATCTGCCAAGTGACCCTATGTAGGGGGACCAGTCCCTATTCTGCTCTGTGTCCATGTGCATCAGGGGCTCTGAGGACAGGTGTCAATCCATATGTCAAGGTGTCAATATGTCAAATGTCAGGTGTCAATCCATATTCATTGTGATTTAGGAATGTTAGGTGATTTCTGCCCTTTATGGATTAAAACCAGACTCTGCATCAACTGTGTAATTTTCCATGGGAGTTTTGCCATGGATCCCCCCCCGGCATGCCACAGTCCAGGTGTTAGTCCCCTTGAAACAACATTTCCATCACTATTGTGGCCAGAAAGAGTCCCTGTGTGTTTTAAAATTCGCCTGCCCATTGAAGTCAATGGCGGTTCGGGCGGTTCGCCGGTTCGCGAACATTTGCGGAAGTTTGCGTTCGCTGTTCGCGAACCGAAAATTTCGGGTTCGCGACATCACTATCCATAATCCCCTCTCCCGCTCCCCAGTTCAAATACAATTTTGCTGTAGACATCCCTACGGCTACTCGAACTGCTACCGTCTGTCCTGATCTCTTGTGCTCCGGGATTAGCATGATGGTAGCACCAGTGTCTCTCAGTCCCTGAGCAGTACGGCCGTTCAGCTGTACCTCTTGTCTGTGGTGCTGGCGGTTGTCCCCTGAGGTGGCATATACTGGATCTGCCTCATGGAGTGGCCCTAGATGCTCTTCCATGTGTGAATCTCAGTCCACACAGAGAGCCCTGGCTGATCGATTAGGACTGTATGATTATTCCGGGGGGCCCGATTGTTGAGGGATTTTCCCGTACAGTGATAGACTTTCTCTTATAATCCTGGTTTTCTCGTCCCCATTAATAATCGGTGGTTAGCTCCGCAATCAGCTACCTCCTAGGACGGTTGCTGGCAGTTCCCCCACGGCACTCCAATAAATCCTTTAATGTAGTGCATTTTAGTCGGTCATTATTACTCTCCATTCGTTCCGTGCCTCTCCTGGGGATCCAAGGATGGTCCCACTGCTGCCACCAAATGTTAAGGTATGCCTCAGGCTAGCTGAGGGTTGGACCACTTTGATGTCCTTGTCCCCAATCCTGGAGAGCGGTAGAGAGTTCCAATTCCACATCTAGCGATATTCCTGTAAGTGTAAAGTATCCATATGGTTCTTAGCAGAGTCAGCAATCAGCATTTCTCTACAGCACGAGTTGAGGCTGCGAGTTGAGGATAAGAAGTCTACTTTATTGAATCACAAGGCGCTGCTTAAATACACATTTTCAGACCAGAGGTACACCACTCTGGACCTGATGGTACAGACAACAACCAATGGGATCAAAGTGCCTCTTTTCAAACCCTCCCCTCTATCCTGGAGATAATTAGTTTTCAACGGCTACAATAACCTAATTATCTCCAGGTACAGGCAATATTCTATTTATTCAGACACATGAAAAACTGCATAAAAATCCATTAATCATACATCATATTGTTTAATGAGTACATTCAACATATCCCCAGACAACTTGGATCTGAGCGCACAAAATAGATCTCACGAATGGAGTGGGAACACCATGGGGATAAAACATTGTCTCTAGGGCTGTTTGGCACTATCAGCCCAGACATACTCTTCTATAGTGTCCTGTATGGGGTTGGTATAACATGTATAGTCCCAAAGTACCGAACGGTACAGTGTTCAGTGCGTTATGCATGAACGGACGTGGCACGGGGCATCCCAGTTGGGTTCACATAAACTAGTGTCCGAAAATGGTACTAGGCAATCGTCGAACAGGTCCTGCTGTGTGGTCGGCAGTTAAAAATGGCCGCCGCAACGTGTTCGTGCATACGGGTATCATTGAACACAATGAGCTGCAAAATGACAGAAGGTGGTTTAGGAGTACACCATATCCAGAAATATTATAAAGCATCCTTACTGGCACAAACAGTGGTGCTAATAGTCAAGACCATCACACCACTGTGGCATACATTATAACAATATAACATTGCTCCCCAACACGAGATATTGGACCTTATTTGGGTAGCATATTGTGCCCAACCTGCTAATCTTAATTTCCTATTTACAACACAAACCTCTTTGCAGATGTGGAGGAACTGGGCCCCTAAACATCTGGTAAGAGATACTTATTATTATGCAACTTTGCAAAGTTTAATTTATTATAGAAAAGATTTAAATGCTGATGTTGATACATGGAAACGCAAGGGCATAACTAAAGTTCAACATTTAATAACAGGCAAGGATATACACCAATTCCCAGATATACAAATCAAATATGGTGGCCGCCTGTTCTGGTATTGTAAAACAATTACTACCATGTGGAAACATATTCAACAAATTATATTTAATGTCACAAATATATTGGTGCCCCTACAACCAGAAATGTATATTATTCAAGAGAGGATACTCATGCAGGAAACTGCAATAATTATACATATTTTAATGACCACAAAAAATGCTATAGCTAGATTATGAAAAACCACACAAAAATTTCTAATACTAAAACCTACGAGGAGATAACAGGATGCAGGATAACAGGTAAACAAGATAACTATGAAAAAATCTGGGCGAGGTGGAAGTGAGGGTAATTCAGGTGGAAGGGAGTGAAAATCAATCAGCTGGATACTATGAACAGAGATATTTAATATTTACCAAACTGAGGCGTCATAAGTCGATATAAGCCTTTAAACTGACAGGGGTCTTGGCTAGGTTGTTACAAACTAACGAGATTGTAAATGTATGTAATCTTAGTAACCTCTTTTCCTGGCCATATCCATGGCAGCACAACAATGGGTTAGCTCCTCCCTATCCCTAATTAGACAGGAACAGAATTAAAATCAGGGGTATAAATACCCCCTCCCACCAATGGTCCCTTAGTCTTTTTTTTCCTGTCCTATCCCTATAGGACTCCAGTCATTGTAGACTGTGAGCATACTCTTTTTTCTCTTTGGCTTACCTGAGGGTTTTTACCTTTGGCCTCAAGGGAGTTCAGCCTCTCTTCCTTGGGAAGTCTCCAGTACGTGGCCCTGCGCAAAGGATATCCCCCTGGAGATGCTCCTTTAGTGAACGGGAGCCACTTGCAGTGACCCTAGGGGTAGCAAGCAAAATATTGCCAGTAAGGAACATTCCCTGCAGTAACCAAGTGGTAGCAGGAAGTGGCAGAAGAACCTCATCTACAGAAGATTCTTCCTACCTCTACCTGGCAGGCACAGTAAGTTTTAATGCATTTATTGTGCATTATTTTACTTATGGCTGTCAGGTTTTCCCCCTTCCACCTCTTTTCTATGTGCCACAGGATTACATTTTTTTTTTTTCCTTTTTCTTTCCCTTCTCTCTCCCCTTTTCCCCTTTAATTTTGATTTTACCAGGCTTGCCGCCATTTTGTCGGCGTCCTCCTGGTGCTCTGCGCCTGCGCGGACTGTGGGCGCATCATTCCCGGTCCCCGCGCATCTTCCACTTACTACAGAATCTGGGACGTTTTCTCCTACTGGGCTGCATCCAACCACAGGGATATTCAGTATATCTCCACCAAGGAAATCCTTGAATTTCTACAATCCGGTCTTGATAAGGGTCTAAGCTACAATACCCTGAAGGTACATATTTCAGCTCTTTCGGCCCTTACGGACCAAAGATGGGCCTTAAACTCAGACGTGATCAGATTTATGGCAGCAGTTTTGAAAATCAAGCCTCCTATCAAGCCCTTCGCTCCACCATGGGATCTTCCCTTGGTGTTAAGGGCTCTGAGCAATTCTCCTTTTGAACCTCTTGAATCCATCTCTCCTCAGTTACTCACCATTAAGACGGTTCTATTGGTGGCCTTAGCCTCAGGTAGACGAGTGTCTGAACTCCATGCCTTATCTACGAAAGAGCCCTTTACAGTGTTTCATAAGGACAGAGTTATTTTACGAACTGTTCCAGAATTTCGTCCTAAAGTGGTGTCAGCTTTTCACATTAACGAAGAAATAGTACTCCCGGCTCTTCATTCAGAGTCTTCTACTGAGGATGATGAATCTCGGCCTTCTCCATTGGATCTTGTTCGATGTCTGTCTATCTATCTACAAAGATCTTCAGCTTGGCGGATCTCTCAAAGGCTATTCGTTATCCCCAATGGCCCCAGAAGAGGCCTTCAGGCTTCTAAGATGGCCATCAGTAGATGGATTGTTGCCGCCATCGTTCAGGCTTACCAAGCCTCAAAGATGAAGGTTCCTGAGGGGCTCAAGGCTCACTCCACGAGGTCCCTTTCCTCATCTTGGGCAGCAGCTGCTAATTTGTCACCCGAGCTGATTTGCAAAGCAGCCACTTGGTCTTCTCCAAACACGTTTATTAAGCATTACCAGATTGACGTTAAAGCCAGCCAATCAGACTCTTTTGGCAAATCAGTCTTATCCGCAGTCAACTCTTCTTGATTGATTTCTCTTGCACGTGTGATTTCTAATACACCAGCATTTAAAATGTTCTTGAGTTTGTGTTTCTTTATTCCCTCCCTTGGTTATTGCTTGGGTATTACCCATTGTTGTGCTGCCATGGATATGGCCAGGAAAGATGAAAATTTATCCATACTTACCGTAATTTTCCTTTCCTGGTCATAGGCCATGGCAGCACTTAGATCCCGCCCTGGGATATTGCTGTTAACAAGACTAAGGGACCATTGGTGGGAGGGGGTATTTATACCACTGATTTTAATTCTGTTCCTGTCTAATTAGGGATAGGGAGGAGCTAACCCATTGTTGTGCTGCCATGGCCTATGACCAGGAAAGGAAAATTACAGTAAGTATGGATAAATTTTCATCTTTCTTTTATTTTGTGTGCTTGAACAAATTTGATTTAGGGTCATATTTTAATTTGTGTTAATTGCTGTGTATACAGTTTGTTCAAAATCAGTTCTAATTAAACCAATATACTAATTGATTAGGAGGAACTAACAATAATAAAATAAGATTTAGGATATGTATAAGCTGTATAAGTATGTATAAAGGATTGAATGTTGTGGGTGTTTTTTATTTTGCACTATTGTGTTCTTTATTTTGTTCTTTATATCACCATGCATATGCTGATGAATAAGTTGTAACTGCCACACATCCATCAGCTGGTTGGAAACCCCACCGCATGAGTGGAAATCTATAAGTTTTTGTTGTGTATTCTGCCTGCCAACATTATTGTTTTTTATCTTTTCACCTATGTCCATGAAATACACAAGTATGAAGTAATACCATCTGGAGGATTGTAAAAATGTAGTTTGTGAAAGTCCCATTGGACTTGTTTTTATAATTTTTTCTATAATTAACTAGTTTTTTTGGCACAACTCATATTTGTTATATTTTACTCTAAAAAGAGGTTCATCCTCATAAATAGATGCAATATATAATCACTGGGCATCTCCTGACCCTCTTAGCATGTTTTTTCTTTGGCAGTTATAATAAACAGTTACACAAGTTGTCTTTCTTGTATTCATCTTTGCCAGAACTTATTTTAGGATATTATTTTAGGAAAGCACATCTGCTACCCGAGCACAGGTATATTAAGAATATAGTCAACGATGCATGATAGTAAACTATTAGCATTATTATTATGCTGCTAAGTGAATCTATGTAAATATTGGTAGTATGGAGAAATTGCTATATTATAATAATAATTAACAACTGATTTTAGGTGTTGGACACTGCTATTATTTGAGCTATACATATGAATGTACAAAATACAGCTAGTCAAACACAGCAATGAAAAAAGCTCATGAACAGAGATTTACTTAAATATAACAGATACATCAGTGCATACAATTTTGATACAATGACAATTTTGATGTGACACATACAAATATGAAAAGCAAAGCAAATACTGTTTTATGTTATGTCACCAGATGCATAAGAATACAAAGCAATGTTCTTTATAATTAACAAGTGTATACAAAATCAGTTAAAGTTTTTAATGAATAGTGCTCAATATTTGTTTTTTTTTTGTTTATGTTAAATGTAATATGCATCCAAAAATGTATAAAATCAGATGAATATACCATACAAGCTTTGTTTTTTTGTTTTTTGCGTTTTAATTAAACAGTTTTGTGGTCAAGTGTTATGAATACTATAGAATGGTTCTCCTTAGATTTGCAAAGTTCCTCTCGTAGGAAAACAGTAAATTTATGTTTATGTATTATTTCATGGTGACCCATGTTTTATAGTTTTTTTCCATCAGCAAAATTGTTGTCTTCTGATTTTAAATAACATTCTCAAAGAGCTGTAAAGACCTCATAATATTGTCATCCTGTAATTAAAAAAAGAAAAAAAAACATTAGGCAGTTTTTCAAAGCAATACAAATAAAAACATTTTTATGACTATTAAAGGATTATTTGTTTGTATGATATTGTTAAAGTGATATTCTAAACACTAAAACCACTACAACTTAAAGAGTAACTGCCACTTCTCATGGTTTTTAATATTATCTTTACTTATCCATACATTTAACAAATACTTATTAGTGAGTTGTACAAAACTAAACTAACCCCTTAAGGATGGAGGTACGTCCTGAACCAGAAGAAAACCTTGAATTTGAGATTTAGGTTTGTTCCACTGCAATTTAAGGGTTTCTCTTCAAATTTTCGCACACATATTATATATAGTTTTTTAAAGGACAGAAAAGATTTTCAATAAGCATCCTATATATCTGTTAAGACATCCCTGGCACAAAGGAGTGAAATCGTTGTTTAGTTAAGCTTCCCCTTCCTCAATAATGCAGGCTCAATTCGTGTATACTTTAACTGTACGAACTGCAATCAGGGGAATGCGCCAATCTCCCGAACAAGACCCGTACAGATGCGCCAAGCTCCCGAACAATAAATCCACGAATTGCGGATAACAGCCGAACAAATATATCCTCCAAGCGGCTTAAGTTTCCAGCGATCAGTCGCTAACCGTGTGTAGTAAATCCCCCCAATAACGAGACCAAGCTCCACATTGAGGAAAAAACAAGAACTGGCTTTACTGTGGGCTACCCGCCCGTATTTATGCAGGTCTCCCACTTGGTGGACTCTCCCCTAGGGGACCAAATGGGAGACTGTAATTGCAGACAGACATATGGCACTTTAAGACATACAGGCACAAAATATTCCCATAATGCATCCTGGTTTCCTCCCCTCTGCCCTGGAGATAATTGAGAAGTAATTCAATTATCTCCCAGGACAGAGGCAAATCGCCATTTTACATGAAGCATAAAAAAACACATCAAAATAAATAATTATACAACATGGAGTCAAAGTCTTTTACAGACTTTCGGTATGCAATTGACTCCATGGGATGGCTATCTGGGTTAAGTCCATTCGTATAATCCAAACTCCCGAACGGGCCGGTGTTCGCATGCCTTGACGAATGAGAAGGGCGGTCTGTAGTCTCAGCGGTGTTCAGCAGAAAAAGTGTCAGTTTTTAGTTCCATAGAATCTGTGCCGAACACCGCTGGTCTTTCGCATGGTCGGCATACGAACGACGACCACCCTGCATTAGGTTATAATCAAGAGGTGTCTGCGGTTAACCCCAACATTCTAATTGGGATCAAGAGGTTAACCAACAGCACACTTCTCTTCTGGGTGGCCGTCCGTTCGGTAAGTTCATTCGGCCAAAAAGTCAAAAAGGCGAATAGGGGCATACGGACAGGTAATTCCACGAAAGGAAGGCAAATTAGACGAACCAGCAATATTAGTCTTACAGATGAATCTGTCACAATATCATATATATATATATATATATATATATATATTTATTAAGAGAAATATATATATGTCACAAACCCTTTATATATAAAATTTGTATCTTGTAATACCTTTTACCTATTACCTATTACAAGATACAAATTTGATCAGTTTTTTACATCTACATCAGTGGACAAATACGGCTCCAATAAAAAAGGTATTACAAGATACAAATTTTATTAGTTTTTTTTACACACACACACGTATATATATGTGTAAAAAAACAGATACAATTTGTGTGTCAATGTGTGTGTAAAAAAAAAAAAAACAATCAAATTTGTTCTCTCTCTCTCATATATATATATATATATATATATATATATATATATATATATATGCATATATATATTTATTAATGTACGGGATAATGAATGGGGCATATAATTAATAAATGTAAATTTGATAAAAGCAAGAGTTGGTTGAGGTGTGCCGAACACCAAATTTTTTCACGTTGCACATCCGGTGCAATTAATTAAAAAGAATAGATTCATATATCAATCCTGATTGTTAAAAACCTAATACGTTTAGGATCTCAATTAATATTTGATAGTTAACGCTAACCCTATACCAATCCCCACACTATACCCCAACCATACCCCTTATCCAAAGCTTACACGAACTGTATGCCTATCCTAATCTTACTCTTAACTTAACCCTACACTTTCTTTCACCCTAAAACAGCATTACCCACACCCAGCATTAACCCTAATCAAACACCAAACATTAAATCTAAACCGAACCCTATCCTGACCAATCTCGCCACATTGCATTGGAGAAGCCTGGTTGCTCGCCTGCTGCATTTGGACTATGGCCCCCTTTTAAAAGACTTTATTTTTGCCTGCAGAAAAGCTGTATTCGTGCTTTTCTGCCTGGGGTTCGGTAGATTTGTTTGAATGTGTTATACCCCAGATAGGAATCTCATGGAGCACATTCGTATGAAACTGACTGTAAAGACTTTAGCTCCATGGCGATTAAACTGTATTCGTGTGGTCTGAGCGCCATTCACTTAATAATGTGCGCTCGGACCTGAGCTATCTGGGGATATGTTACATGTCTGTGTTTTATGTAATAAATATGACTTTATGTATTTTAAAGTGTTTTGTGTCTCTTTGCAACCATGTGCTTAATGGAGTCTTGTGTCTGTCCTGGGAGATAATTGAATTACTTATCTCCAGGATAGAAGACTCTGAAACTGGTTTGGGCCAGAAAGCCATGCTTCATTTAGTCACAAAGGACTTTTTACTAACTTTTGAACCCCTTGTCTGATTTGTGCCATTTTTGAATATGTTGTTCCCCTGAATGGATTGATTGAGAATATGTAATTTTATGTGAATGTGATGTATGGTTTTGGAGTTATGAAAGTTGGGTAGAAAGTATGTTTTAACTGTTTGTATAATTGAGTTTCCTCTCAGGATAAGGGGAGGGAATATGTGGGATGTAACTGTGATATGATTGGTTGTTTTATCCCTCCCTGTGGGTGGTCCTGTATTTGAAACACTGTAATAAAAACCAGGCTGGGTGTGCCAGCACCTCAGACCACTGCTTGACCCTCAACACGGAGCCTTGTCTCGTTCTTGGGGGGATTCACTGTATGCTGTTAGAGACTGATTGCCAGGAGTGTAAGCTGTTGTCTGCTTTTCCTGTTCGTCTGCTAGCAGCTATTTGGGAGGTTCCAGTTCGGGAGTTGGAGTGCTATTTTGTATCCAGTTCGTGAGTTTTGGTGTTCTGCAGTGGCTGTGCCTGGATCTCTGGAAAGGGGGCCGATCGCCTAAACGGTTTTTCCCCTTTTGTGCAAAACGGTCCGTTACACTAACCATAAATCCACCACTAACCCCAAGTCTAACCCTAAGGTTGCCCTTAGAAGTTCTGATATTAGAAGTGGGTTTTACTATATTTACCAAAGTAGATGATGGTATTGTTGTGGAATCAATCAAGTAATTGATTATCTTGCATATCTGCCCCCGGCCAAATTAAAGTATGCGTGCACGCTCCTGAAGTATTTCACACCAGACACAGGTTTCGGGTTAATGAAAAACTTGAGGAAGAGTTTATTCCAGGGGTACGGTGTGCCCTTTATAAAGCAGAATTACATCATATGCATTGTCAGAGATAACAGAGAATAATACATCAATAATTGGTTAGGTGTTAAGTGGTTCATCTATTGCTCTTCCTACCGGGTGTGATGTCACTGGCATCATGGAGGTCTCCCCCAGATTACAGCGCCATATTGTTAATGAGGGTGTTAGTCAATGACAAGGGGAAACTCCCTAGCGGCCATTTTAAGTAAATCATGTATAACGCTGAATAATGCTGATTATGGTTATGCTGAGTAAATATGCATTTTACTAACATAAATTGGGTTAATATTTTTGTCCACAACAGTCCCCCCCTTAAAATGACTATTTACTAAGTAAACAACTATGAACTGACCCTAATAATGTCCCTAATTGGCTGCAGCTCACTGCGCGGGTATCCCACTACATCTCCCGCGACAGACTCCTGCCTGTAGAGAC